TAGTCAACCAAGAGAATTGAATTCAACTTAAAAATCAGAAATAAATCAAAATAAAAGTAAATAAAAACTATGTCTCAGTAATAACATTCAATGTAAATGGTCTAAAGAAATAAATCAAAAAAACACAAGCTAGCAGACTGTATTAAAAAACAAGACTCAGGCTGGGGTTGTGGCTCAGTGGTAGAGCACTTGCCTAGCATGTATGAGGCGCTGGATTTGACTATTAGCACCACATAGATATAAATAAAATAAAGGTCCATCAACAACTAAAATATATATATAGGTCTCCAAGGCAAAGATAAGACCATCAAATTAGAGAACTTAGGAGAAATGAATAAATCCTATAAATACAAACTTACCAAGTCAAAATCACAATAAAACTAAAGACACACACACACACACACACAAACATGAAAAGTGATAGAAACAGTAATCAAAATCCTTCCAAAATAGTAAAGCCCAGGAACACGAGGTATTCTACCACATGCTGGAAAAACAAAAAAGCAAACAACAACAAAACCAATAATGATACCAAGCCTTCTCAAATCCTTCAAAAAATTGATGGAGAAACACATTTTATAAGACCAGAACTACTCTTATAAAAAGCTAGAGAACACTGAAAGAAAATAAAATTAGAAGTCAACATCCCTGATGAACATGTAATCAAATTCCTCAACAATATTCCTCAACAAGTAATCTAAATTCATGAATATATTCAATAATTATATACCATGATAAAATCGAATTTATCCCTAGGGTCCAGGATTGTTCAACATATAATCAAGCCAATATTATGATACACCACACTAATAGAATGATGAACAATAATCATATGATCATCTTAATAAATGCTGAAAAGTGCATTTGACATAATTCATCATCCTTTTAGGATAAAAACTCACAACAAATTTGGTTTATAAGGAATACATCTCAACATAATAAAAGTCATCTGTCACAGATAAGCCCACAGCTAAATTATATTCAAAAATGAAAAGCTGAAAACTTTCCTAAAGACAAGGATACCCACCACTCTCACTACTTGTATTCAACATAGTATCTGAAGGTCTTTGAGAATTTAGGCACGAAAAAAGAAACAAAAGACAGACAAACTGGAAAGAAAAGAAAGAAGTTAAAATGTCTAAGATGGCATTATCTCATATACACAAAATCCTGAAGACTATTAGAAAATGTTAGATTAAATGAATTTAGTAAAGTTTCAGGGCACAAAATCAACAGACAAAAATAAGCAGCAGATATATGTTGGAAAATGGCAGACTGGAGTCACTGAGCACTTGTTCAACTTCTCCACAAGACAGAACCAAAACAACAGGAGTGTAGCTAGATGCTTGTTGAACTGGATGGACTTAGGAGAGCATTAGAAGAGAACAGTTGAGAGAGACCTGGAGAAATATATAGATTTGGGATAAGGAAAGAGTGCAAGGAAGAGTGCAAGAAAAAGTGCCCCACCACTGAACACAAGGTATCAAGGTAGGGGAAGGGGGACTAACTCTCAGTGAAAGAGAGAGGATCCCAGAGAACTCCACTAGCACAGAATTTGGCACCTTGCAGACACAGAGTCTAAACAAGTAAGAGACTTGGGAACTGCAGAGCAAACTGGCTCTGGAGAAGTTCTTTAAACTTATCAGAATAGTCTCATGAAGCTAAACTCAGGAGATAACTTGAGAAGGGTCTTATTGTCTGAATTTACTGGTGTGGGGATTGGAGACCCCTGACTTTTCTTTCTCTGGGACTCTGGACTTTACAAAAATTTCACTGCACTGACGGAGTAGGTGGCTGCCTTGTAAGACAGTATGATCCAAAGGAGAGACTTCAACACAAAGCCATTGAAAATTCTATGCCACAGGAAAAGAGACTGCAACATGGAGGAGAGCAGAAGTTGCTTCCCTTTGAAACTGGAAGTTCAGGGAACCAGCTAGCAATCTCGGGGAATGAAGAGTTCTATGTGAATTTTTTTGAGAATCAAGTATGAGAGTACTAATAATGTGGTAGGGACTATATGTATGCAATCTGACACCCTGCCTCTCAGCACAGATCTCTTTGTCTCCAGACCCTCTCACCACTTATAGGTGTGTCTAGGGATGTGCTGCCATTTCCCCCATCCTTAGAACATGTAGATCAAAAGTTTCTAGGCAGAAGTTTTACTTAGCATTCTGAGATGGCTCATTAATGTGTTGCAATCCAATATTTGCCCTGCACTATAGAGAGAATCTTTGCCTACTGATCTCTGCATTCCATGTTAGCACATTCTACTGTACAGCAGATGAGAGGAATTCCAGCTAGCTTTAGCCACAATTCAGCCCTGTTAAGCAGGACAACAGAAAGAACTGTCTGTGTGTGTGTGTGTGTGTGTGTGTGTGTGTGTATGACCACAAGACTTTACTATCCACAGGGTACAAAGCTTAAGAAACCCAAAGAGAAGATTTGATCAGCATAGGTTGTAATTATTCACTCTTCCCACCTCACTGAGGTACCATGATGGAGATAACAATTTACAATTTTACACTTTTATGTAAAAATGCTTTTTTTCCTTCTCTTCTTAACTTTTATTAGAGTTTTTTCCCCCCTTTCTTTCTTGTTTTCCCCCTTTTACTTTTCTCCTCTTTTCCTGTTTTTGAGGCAGCCAGGAAACACTTGTCCTGAGGATTTCAGATCCTTTTCCTGGCAAAGGAGGCACATCTGCCTAAGACACTGGCAACATAGTAATCTCCAGCCTGACCACTTTTCCCCAAGCTGACATTCCCACCCAGCATTTCTTCAGGCCACGCAAGTAGGCCAAAAACAGAAACAAAAACATCCTAGCAAACAAGATAGACAGGAAAGAACACATATGGGCTACACAAGTGTGGTGACAGGAATTGAATCCACATAGGCATCTTCTGAAGGCAACAGCTCCAATACATGGTCAGAAAGCAGTAGGTTCCAAGGGAACAGCAGAGATTTTAGCATTCTTTGTGCTGACCTAACATTGTGCCTTGTATCCTACACACTGTACTATAATGTAAATCATGTTTCAGTTAAGAACATAAAAGAAAACAATGCTGAAAGGTCGGGAGATAAGGCACACAGATGCTCAGGCACTCTCATCTCAAGTCAGGAGGGTGGGGTGGATACTTGGGTTCCTTTACATCTTATGCACAGTGCCAAGGTCTCATTCACTGTGTACACTGAGGCCTGCTTCTGTTCAGGGTCTGTGAAGATGGTTATCACTTCTGGGTTGCTGGATTACTGTGCATAAACTCCTGTGTATTTTGAAATTGCACTGACACAACTATTCACACTCCCGCCACTGCACTTGTAACTAGCAGGTAAAAAGAGGCCACAGGAAGTTGTGGACCACAGGAGACCTCAGGGAGAACAGGCATTTGGAGCAAACAGTGGAAAAGGCAGTGTTGGCTGTAGGAATGGAGGCTACGGTTTGGGGGCTTCTTGATGGAAGGGCCTCAGCACAAAGGGGCTTAGCCATCACGCCTAAATAATTAAGTAAAAGAGCCCTTCTTTCTTACCCAGAGAGGAAACATTACCTTGCACACTAGGGGGAAGATCAGCTTCTGTTTCTAAGATCAACAGAGAAAACATCTGATAAGTCCCTGCTCTACCCAGGGGCAGGTATAGAGGAAAAAAGCCTATGAAATCCCGTTTTTCCACTCCTCAGACAAAGCCACACAAAATGCATAGAGGAATTCCTCTGCTATGCAGCTTTCCTTCCCTCCTCCAGGATTTCTGAACATCTGCTGTGGGTATCACCCCTCAAACCTGGAGTTGTCCAGCTGGCCCTGAGCTTCCTCCTTGGACCATGACTCTCATTATACCTCCCCCAAATCTTCTGCATATTATAAGCTTTCAGGAAGCAAACAGACAATCTAGTCAGTGGTGTGGTGTGTTCCTACCTCATGCTGGGAAGTGGCTTTACCTCAGGGGGATTTACCACCCATGTCTTTTTGTTTTGAAAAATATTTAAAGACTTTTTTCTTTTTAAAAAACTTCTAAGCTTCTGAGAATTTCTCAATTGGGGCCCTCCCTAAAAATGGCAAACTATCTACATGACAAATGGGACACATTTCTTTTTTAAAAGTTATCACTTTCTAACCAAAAGATAATTATAATAGCAGAAAGAAGCTGCCAGAGCAGCTCTGGGAGTCTCAGCCCTGTGGAGATGCCAGAGCTGGAAGATGCCCAAAGCCTCCCATCCTGACTGACCTGATAGTTCCTTACTCTCTATTTGTGTGCACTTCACTTTACAAAATTTAGTGTCAATAGAGCTCAAAGATCAGAGCAATTCCACATGGGTACACTTGGTTTTTATGTAAGTAACATCCATAACATTACCTTGCACACTAGGAAGAATTTTGACATTTCCATCCCCAAATCCCATGTGTTCTCTCTCTCTCATGACTTTAGCAGCCACCAGGAAGAGATTTGGGGTAGGAAGGCTGCATGGCATGTGGTGAAGCACCCAGCCACTGCTACAGGCAAGCCCTCTCCTGCCCACTGGCCCACCTCTCACTTCCCTGTGCATGGGATTATGGAGATGATGCCATAGAACACTCTGCAGTTTCCAATGCCTTGTCAGATGTGTATTGTCCAATAGCTGTCACCCACCTTGTCCATACACCTCAGGGAGGGGCCTGAAGATTGGGAAAGGGATTCAAACAGAATAAAGTATACAGTGGCTCAAGGGGAGAATCAACATCTATACTAGGTCAAGGGGAGCTAGTCTCCATCTACATTGGCTCAAGGCAAGTGAATCCCCATCTACACTGGCTTAAGATAAGTGAGTCCCAATCTACATTATATCAGTTGAATGAGTCTCTGTCTACCCTGAGCAGAGAAGGAGGCAAAGTGATCCAGGCCTCAGATAGGATTGCTGCTGGGTTCCTCCCCTTGCCCTGAGGCCTCCCTTTTTTTCTGTTTTTTTTTTTTTTTTCCCTCCTCCTCCTTTTTTTAACCTGTCCTTCAAAAAAATCTTTGGAACATCAATATTATTATACAGTTTGTGAGAAATAAATTTATTAAAAACTATCTCTGCTATCCCAGAAGGACAGACAAGAGCAGGGAAAGAGGAAGTGTCCCAGGGAAAGAGTCTGATGTCTCTGGCAGGTGGAGGCAGAGGAGAGTCCTGGTGAATCCAGATGCACTCCTGGCTGGAATCTGCAAGGAGAAGCCTGAGCCACTTGGCACACCTCACTCCTGACCAAAGGCTGGCACCACGATGTCAGGATCCTCAGAACTTGGGGTCTTCTGGGTCTTCTGGCTGTTCATTAGTTTGTATGTCTCATCTCTGCATCCTCACTGGAGCCACTGTTTCAGAACCTAGGATATCTCTGGCCTTCTTCAACAGGAGCCACTTTTCCTCTGAAAACCAGCCGGCAGAAGCACAGCATGCAACAACATGTTGAAGGCAAGTGGCGATTCTCTGACTGATAGCTTCTTTCACCACCACCTCTGGTCCAGTGAAGAGATGGCGGGCTATTATCACCTGGCCAAAGCTCTCCTGCCCAGTGTCCCTCAGGACCTGATAATGGTCCATAAGAACCATCTCATAGCACAAGCTGGGCCACTGCAGCACTATAGTTCTCAGAGTACTCTAAAAACACATCCTAAGCTGGAACACCAACTAAAGATGAGGGGGGGGGGGGG